GGGGAGGGAGGGGCCACGACAGGGGGGGGGGCTGGCTCGGGGAGGAAAACCTTGACCTGGAATCTCGGCGATGCATCGCCGATAGATCGGCGAGAAATCCCGACAGCGGATCCACACGCTCCCATGCGGCGGTGGGCTATCGGGCCCCCTTATCTGCGACGAGTCCATTGGCCATGGGGGGTCGATGCATCACCCCCCACTGTCAACCAGTATAATAAGGATGCGCGACAAGGATACAAGGGCCTTGGACGCCCATTTTCAAGCTTTTCGAGCGAGGCGCGGCCAAAGAAAGTGGCGAATAATAGACCGAGGACGCAAGGATGCAAGGGTACCCGTGAGAAGGTTGCCCATCCTTACTGTGCGGGTTGACTGTATGCCCATCCCCCGTCGTTGCCCCTGAGGGGGGCCTCCAGAGGTCCGCTCGTCAGCAGAGCCGGTCCACCACCGCTTGACCCCGACAATCTCTGGCCCAGGACCGCCCCTGCCCCTTCCCCTACCCGCGCCCTGGCATTCTCACCCCTCTGGACCTTGGTTACAGGGACCTCCCACCCGACACTCTTCGGCCTGGGACGGATCCTGGCTTCCGCCACGCCCCGGCAACGCCACTCCGACACCCCAGCGTCGATCGGACCCGCGGGGGCATGGTTTTATGAGCATTGTTTGACCGATCCCTATTCCCACGGGCGTGGCCTGGGCCCCACTAGCCGAGTGGCCCCTCTGGATGGGGATAGAGGCTGCTCCTTTCGAGTTTCGAGGGGCATATCCCCAACTGGGGTGGTGGGATGGTGGGGATAGAGATGGGGACGGGGATGGGGATGGGGATAGGGATCGGTGAAACGGTGCTGGGTTGAGGGGATGGCCCGCGCGGACACGCGGCACGCCGCAAGAGCAAGGCGCGGGAGCAAGAGCGCGCGAGAAGACGACGACGACGACGACGGGGCAACCGGGAACGTAGCTGCCACGACACGCAGCCCGTAGCTTGCTGACACGGAGCTCAACACGTAGACTGAAAGCGTGAGTCTGGCGCGAAATGCTTGCCAAGACGTGGGCCAGCACGTGCGCGAGAGACGTGTTGAACACGGCAAATGTTGCGTTTCAACACGTGCGCATCAGGGCAACTAAGGCCGGGAACGGACGCCGCCTGAGCTGGGGCGAGAGCGGTGCTGCAGTACAGATGTTGAGGTCGCGTCGATGTCGGCGTTGGGTTCTGACACCGAGCAGACCGTTCAACCCGTTCAACATCGGCGGTGGACAAACCTCCCTTACGTAAACCTCACCTTAGTGAAAACGGCCTGGGACCGAAACCGACGGACCTGGTCCCGCAAAAATGACGGCCGCGACGCCTTCTCGCGGACCGAAAACGGCCAATTCCTTAATCAACGTGTCAGGGTAGGAGGTCTATCAACCTCCGACAACATTGAACGACTGCAAACTTCTGATTGCGGAGACCTTTCTACATCGGACGATTCCGGTTCATTGGCGGCGCTCAACCTTGAACGCCCAGGCGGGGGTCGCCGTCGCGCCAACGCGGCGCGAAGCCTGACGCAACGACCTTTTAGCGAAGCTCGGCGATCCGGGGCTGAGCAGTCCAGCACCGTACCTAGGGCTTACCAGCCACACGCGGAATGGAGCGGGTGATCCACCGCCCCCTCCCCCCGGTGAGGGGCCCAGGCGGCGTCGAAGGAGCCCCCGTGCGATGCAAGGCCCCCCCGCGTGGCCCGCGGCAGGAAGCACACGAGCGTGGCTCCGAATACAGGTGCAGCCTGAAGTATCATGAAGAAAACCATGTTCTCAAGGATCTGGGCCGCCGCGCAAGCTTCTTAAAACAAGCCTGCACCAACTTCTGTGGTTCACGCTGGAGGGCCAACGTGCTCAAGAAACGGAGCCAGCTTCCCGGCAAGCTAGTGAAGAAGCGCTGGCCCGGCGTTCCGGGAGGAGAATTTAATTCATCTGATGCCCGACCATAAGTAGCTTCATTAAGGGAAGCATGCGTTGCCATGCCGCGCAGGACTCCGTGAAATGCAAAAAGGAATCAAGAACTTACGCAACGAGACCCTTCCAGGAAGACTTTAAGCGGCTTGCGGAAAAAGAGCTCGAACGAGCGACCCCCTGAAGACATTGCTGATATGCTTCACGCGGGATCATGGTCCACGGGCGAGCCACGAGCCGCGAGACATCAACCAGTGGGCAACCAAACTCTGCATGGATCTCTGAACGACAGGAAACTCGAACCTGGGTCTCCGAGACCACGGACCGCCGAACAACGAAAAACGCATGATTCACGATCAGGGGCCGCCACTTCCCACAGATGGGAAGTAGCGGGCTGTGCTAGAATATATGGTTGCACCGGCAGGAGAACAAACGCGTCCGCGGAAAGTGCTATATTCTTAAGGATATGGAGGGGTAAACAAAACACGAACGGAGATGTGGGTGGTGCCTGTACTCAGCACCCTCCCAGGAAAGAACACTCATGTGCTTGCCAGCGCGGCCCCTAACGGTTGAGTGCTTCACTCTCGATGCGTGCACTATGTTGTGCAACCGGTGAGGACTCGAATCTCTCTCCCTTTCCCGCGCGCTGGAAGAAAAAAACCCTCCCACTCCTCCCAGCACTCGAATCTCTCTCCCCCCGCCCCCAGCGCGCCTGAGGTGGATCCCAAGAGCCCGCAGGATGCGAATCTCTTCCCCCTCCGCCCGCGCGCTGGAGGAAAAGCGCCCACCCCATCGCTGCTCCCGGAACTCGCTCTCCCTCTCCCGCGCGCCGCAGGGAGATCCCACCAGAAGATGCAGCTTCCTCCCCCTCCCGCTCCTCCGCCTCCTCCTCCTCCTCCTCCTCCTCCTGCTCCTCCTCCTCCTCCTCCTCCTCCTCCTCCTCCTCCTCCTCCTCCTCCTCCTCCTCCTCCCCTCTCCTTCTCCTCCTCCTCCTCCTGCAATATGTAGAGCCGCGCCCAGCCGTGGCGACGAGGGAGACCCCCCGAGGCTGAAATGCGTCGCGCCTCGAACAAGCGAGAGGACCTCTCCCGCGGCCGAGACGCACGAATTTTTCGAGCGACGTCCAGCCGTGGCAACGAAGGGAACCCCCGAAAGGGAAGAAGCGCCGGACCCCGAATAGGCGAGGAGACCCCTCCCTTGGTCGGGCCCCTTCGTGTGCCGGAGTGGGAGGCCCCCCCTGTGTCGTCCCCTCTGACCTTCCCCCTCCCATCAATGACGATACGTGAGTCGGAAGAGGAGGCAACCGCCGAGGAGGCGAGACGGAGGCCTGGGAGGCGCCAGCCCTTTCGTGTGCGTGTGTGCGTGTGTGTATGTAGGTGTGAGTATATGTGTGTGAGTGTGTGGGTGAAAGAAAAAGAGAGTGTGTGTGAGGGTCTGTGTGTTTGTGTGGGTGAGTTTGTATGTATGTGGGAGTGTTTGTGTGCGTATGAGTGAGAGAGTGTGCGTGTGTGGATGTATATGGTAGTGTGGGAGTGTGTTTGTGTGCGAGTGCGTGTGTGTATGTGTGCGTGTGTGTGCCTGTATGTCTGTCTTCGTGTGCGCGTGTTTGTGTGTGTGGTTGGGTGTAGTTGTGTGTGTGTGTGCGCGTATGGTTGTGAGTGATTGTGTGTTTGTGTGTGTGTGTGTCTATGTGTTTGCGTGTGTGCGTGTTTGTAAGTGTGTGTGTGGTTGTGTGTGTTTGCGTGTGTTTGTGTGTGTGTGTGTTTGACTGTGTTTGTGTGTATGTGTGGGTGTGTTTGCGTTTGTGGGTGTGTTCGTGTGTGTTTGTGTGTGCGTCTGTGTGTGTTTTTGTGTGTCTGTGTGCCTGTGTGTTTGTGTGTGCGTTTGTGTGTGTGTATATTTGTGCGTGTGCGTGTGTTTTGCGCGTGTGTGTGTGTGTGTCGCCTTAGTTTTGAACGAAATCCCACTTGTTCCCTTCACGTGTATAAGCGTTGCGTTTAGTGCCGTCGCTAGCCGTCAACCGCTTCCCGCCTCGCCACTTCAACGAGAATTGGCAGTTGATGCAGCCGCAACTGTGTTGCTTCGAGTTGGTGCGCCCACCGATCTGTTTGCCAAGGCAGAACCCTCTCCCCTCCTAGAAGAGGAAGGACCACAAACTGTCGCATTCCATTTGTCCCGTGCTGGGATGAATGAAGGAAGAAGGCAGAGGGGAGGTGCACCCCCCGTTCCCCCCCCCTCCCCCCGACACAAAGGGGAGGATCCCCCCGCCCCCCGCTGCCAATGGGTGCACCCTCCCCCTCCTCTAATTCTCACCACGGCACGGGACAAGGACAAGGAGGGGGAGGGGGGGTGCCCCCGTCCTCCTCCCCATTTTATTTATCATCCTGGCACGGATAGGGAGCCCCCCCCTCTTATATTCTCACCCCGACACGGATAAGGAAGAGGGGGGGGCACCTCCTCCCGCACCTCCCCCCTTCGTTTTGGGGGGTGTTCCTCCTGATCAGCCCCCCCTCGGCGCCATGGTCGTTGGATATCGCTCGGACAAACATCGGGCCGCATGGCCCTGGCGGCAGGAGATCAGCGGGAAGAGGAGAAGGGGGTGGAGAAGGAGGAAGAGGAGGAGAACCGGGGAGGAAATGGAGGAGAAGGCCGAGGAGTAAGAAGAGGAGGAGAGGCGAGCGGGAGGAGGAGGCAGAGGACGATGGGGGGGGGGGAAGCGAGGAGTTGGAGCAGGAGGGTGGGGCGGAGGAGCTGGCAATCGTCGAATGTCGGGTTGAGCAGTGCGCCGCTATCGGGGGTCGCTGGGGAGTATCGCGCTCGAACGTGTAGTTAACCAGGAGACGCTGGCGCTCCGACGATCTCGCAACCAGCTTTCGCCGCACGGGCCGACCCCGTGCCAGACTCAAAACGGCCAAGCCCTTTGGCCCTAAAAGGGCCGTTTGTGATCGAGCGAGGGAGGAAGAGGAGGAGGAGGAGGAAAAGGAGGAGGAGGAGGAGGAGGAGGAGGAGGAGGAAAAGGGGGAGGATGAGGAGGGCAAGAAGCTCGGCGAGCAGGTGCGTGCGCTGGGACTCTAGGCCTGTAGGCGATGCAATGCTGCGATGCGTGCGGCCGCAATCGCAGCGTCATGGACAGGCAGACCGCTGTCGATCCGCCACTTTTCGATATGATATAATTGCGTGGTCAACGCCACCGCATGCACACAGGTCTTGCGGGCGCGCACGCGATGCTCGTGCGGGAGGCCGAGCCCCAGGAAGACCATTCCAAACTCCAACTCACTCGGCTCCGCAGGGGCAGCAACCGCGCTGCGGAGCTTCTCACACTTCATGTAGTGCATCAGGTCGTCCTTGGCGTCGCAGCCAAAGATGCACGGCCGCGGGGCGATGACGTGCATCCTGCCCGAGGTGATCCAGCCGATGACCGCCGCGCGGAGCCACGACCACAGCCATGATGGGCGAACAGCACGCAGAACAGCTCGGAGCTCCAGCCATCGGCCGTGCAGCTCCTCAGGGGTGATCACGATGCCCCAGCGCCGCAAGCGGCGGCCGATGAGGATGTCGAGGCGGCCGTCGTAGAGGCCATCCCTCAAGGCAAGCATGGCCGCGGCCTGGCGCTTGACCTTCCTGGGCGGGACGGCAGCAGCGGCGGCGAGCTCTCCGTCGGCCATCGCACGGCGGGCCGCCTCGACGAGGGCTGGCGGTACAGGGACGGGCAGCTTGTCCAGCTCGGGGCGTGGGTGCAGGAGGGTGCGGAACAGGTCCATGACGAGGCCGTAGTTCTGAACGATGGAACGCTCGGTGGCCCACCACGGCGGAGACCACGCGCCCCGCAACACACGGACCAGCGGGAGGTGCTCGACCGCCGTCTCGTGCAGGGAGCCCAGCACAGGGGCCCAGCCTCGCACTGTGTGGGCCGCCGCGCGGAGGATGGTGGCGACAGAGTACGGGAGCACGCCCACGGGCGCAGGGGAACCGCACCACGAGCCCAAAGCGAGGATGTCCGCCTTGCGCATGGACGAGGGCGGGAAGCACAGGAGGCGGTGGAGCATCGTGACCTCGATCCGCCATATCTCGGGGATGATGAAGAAGAACTGGGCCAGGTAGGAGAGGCACGGGAGCACGTTGACGTTGTAGGCGCGGGCGGCGAGGCTGGTCGCCATGCCCGTGCGGCTCAGCTCCGCAGTCCGTGACCACCACTTCGCCGCCGCATCCTTCCAGATGCCCTGCTCCGAGATGCCAGGACCGATGCGCGTGCCCAGGTACTTGGCGGAGGAGTCGACGCGGAAGCCCCTCCAGCTCGGAACCATCTCGGCCAGGTACTCCTCGGTCTCTTTGATCAGGCTGGGCGTCACCTCGGCCCAGAGCGGGACCAGCACGCACTTGTGGATCGCTAGCTGCAGGTTGACTGCAAACTCTATGTCATCGAAAGACTCGGCGATGGACGGGAGGATCCTGGCGTTGCGGATGAGCATGCCCAAAGGGGGAGGATGAGGAGGATGAGGAGGAAGGAGGGGTGGCCCAAAGGGCGGCGTTCGCATCCTACAGGCACGGATGCTTGTGGTGAGGCCGACCGGGTGGGAGGAGGCCCCCGTGGCAGGGGAAGGAGGAGGGAGGGAGGGGGAGCGAGGAGGGGAGGAGAGAGGGAGGGGGGAGGGAAGGGCGAGGAGCGAGGCGAGGGGGAGAGAGCCAGTCGGGGCGCCCGACTGCTCGGGAGTAGTGGCGCCTCCTCTGGCAGGGAGCCCCCACAAAAGACGCACGCGCCCAGCCGCGTACACGAACACGGCTCCCCCCATCAGCGTTCGCGCAATGCGCACTCTCGAGTCCAGCGTGGATCCCATGCACGTGTACATCCCGCGTTCGCCCCCGATCTGGGCGACGCGGGCGCGTCCAGGGACGCGCCCCGAAAGAGGGTCGGGCATGGTGCCGCGCAGCGCTGCGGATAATCGATAACTAAACATACTTGTGTGTGACACGGCGGCACCGCGAAGGTGCCCTCGAGCTCAAGCGATGCGCAGAGGGGGGCTACGCAGCGAGGGACGGGGAGCAGAGGCCCTGGAGGTGCGAGAGAACGACGGGCCGTCTCCGGTCGTGCGTGGGGCGTGGCTCTCACCGTCCACGCTCGGCCAAGCGCCGGAGCGACCCTGGGTAAGAGTGACCTCTGGTGCGCGGCTTTTTGGAGGCCGCGGGGGTACCAAACACGAGCGCGCAAGACGCTACTACAGGCAACCCGCATCAGAAGGATGCGCGGTAAGGATGCAGGGGCCTCGGAGGCCCATGTGAACATTCTTCGAACGAGGTTTGCCAGCGAAAGTGGCAAAGGAAGGGTCGAAGGGGCAAGGATACAAGGGTACCCTTGGGAAGGTTGCCCATCCTTATTATGCGGGTTGACTGTATCGCATCGCGTTCGGCGATCGGGGGACCCGAAGAGGCCTGCACCAAAAGGCACCCCAGCGAAGGGTCACTGTGACGCGTATTCGACACGCGCGCTTACTCTGTAGGGGGAAACCCAGGCATCCGGCACTCCAATTTTCTCGATGCGTGGACCCACCCCAGGAGGTCTGGACCACTCCTCTAGGACCTGCGTCTCCTCTTGAGTCGTTTAGACGACGGCCCCGAGGCCAAGAGAAGGCCCCGAGAGGCGGAGCGCGACGAAAAACCGGCTCGGTGTTTTCGGGGCATCGGATCTCTGGGAAGGAAGGGTCTGGGCCACCTGTACCTAACTTTAGGTCGGGCATGTCCTCCTACAGGCGGATGAAAAAAAAGAAAACCACTAAATAACTAATATCCAACACTATTCAAAAATAACAAAAAAAAACGTCACAAAACTTAAACCTAACTTCGCGCACCGTGCCCCGCGAGGCGCGGTCGTCTTCGCGCCGCCGCACCAGCCCCCGTTCAGGGATCTTGTGACCCGGGTCAATCCAGACCGGGGTCAGGTCAGGCCTTGCAGAATCCTGCAAAATCCTGCACCCAAACCCGGGTCAATGCGAAGGATCCTGCAGGATCCTGCGCCCAAACCTGGGTCAGTGCGACCCTGGTCCTGCAGGATCCGGCCAGATCGGGCGCTCTGGCTGACGCCCGTTTGCATTGACCCCCGTCTCAAGGCTCCCGATGAACCGATCCGGAAAATACTTTGGGGACCCTGGGAGGACCCCAAGCGCCCTCCTGGCGCCGGCCAACATCCCGCAGCAGCCAACTCCAGACATGCGAAGTCCTGATTTTTTTCAAGACAGCGTCCCTGGAAGTCCCGACCCTTTCCCCGGGACCGGTTTTTCGTCCTGCGTCGCTTTTGGACGGTCCCGAGGCCCGGCGAGGGCCCCCCGAGGCCGAAAATAGTCCAAAACCTCCCGTCCTGACCCCCGTTTGCAGTTGACCCCCGTCTCAAGGCTCCCGTTCGGGGAGCTTCTGACCCGGATCAATCCAGACCCGGGTCAGTCAGGCCTTGCAGAATCCTGCTAAATCCTGCAAGATCCTGCGCCCAAGCCCGGGTCAATGCGAAGGATCTTGCAAGATCCTGCAGGATCCTGAACCCAGACCCGGGTCAATGCGACCCTGGCCCCACAGGATCCTGCAAGAGCGGATCCGCGGCGTGCGGTCGGCGGCGCGAGCGCTTACAGTCGAACTGCTGCCACAAGGAGCCCTCAATAAGGAACGAGGCCCCTTTTATCCACAAGTTCAACTTCGATTGCCCATGGAAAACCGAAAGAACACCTAGAACAAAAACAATACAAATAAGGAACACTGAGCCCCTCCCCAACGAGAGAGGTTCCTTAATCAGCGGCCCGATTGTACCGCTGTCGGCCTGGTGGATGACCGCACCCTTCACCGCGCGGTACGGCGAGGGCATCGGATAAGGAAGCAATGGATGAGGAATCCAGGGTCTCGAAGCCAGTGGAACCTCGATGGATTGGCCATGAATATAACCGACGCCCTGAGTAGATAAGGAAGCCCCCGGGGTCTGAAGCCTCCTGGGCACAGTCCTTACCGAATGCCCCCTAGCTGGAAGAAGAGCGGTGGCGGGAGAAGGGGGGGAAGAATAGACAGAAAGATAAAGAGAGACATAGAGAGAACAAACAAACAAAAAAGACAGAGGGGAGGGGAAAGAGAAAGAGCGGGAACATTGAAAACGACGCCTTGACATCGTCGGTTGGTAACGGATCGAATGCGACTTCGAACAATCAGGTTGACGAGGCTGCTGCATGGATCGGGGATGGAAGGCGAGGATGAGACATGAGGATGTATTAAGCGTATCGGCATGTGGACCCCAAACGCTTGCAGATCGCAGTATTCCCTGGCGATGAAGTGTATAACTCGCCGTTGGGTAAGCACACAGGAGCCCACGCGAAGACCTCGCGACTTGAATGCGATCAGATGGCCTGTTCGACATTGAGAATGCATTGTGGAGCGCCTGGTAACGCATACGAGCAAACTGGTAAGCAACTCATCGCATGATGACGCAAGCCCGTCGTGAATGGAAGACGATACGCACGCGGCGTGCCGAAGCGTCACCACGTGAGAGCACCCGCTCACTAAGAGTGCAACTCACCAACCACCGACCTCGCCACCGACCTGTAGGCCTGTCTGGTCATTGGCCCACGGCAAGTTCGTAGCAATAGGTCGGGCATGTCCCCCTACAGGGGGACTTTGGGCGAAAAATGAAAACAACTCAAAGCATACCCGCCAAATGCTCAAAATTCTTTGACTATTTTTGAATATTCCCCCTGTAGAGGGACACGCCCGACTTCATCGCAGCGTGACGACGTGCGCGCTGGCATCTCGGCCTGGAACTCTCGCGGCTCTACGGCAGCGCAGGCCATCCGACATCGGCATGCCAGCCGCTTCCTGGCCAACGTAGAGGGCACAATATCCACCCCGAGAATGACCACCCCGACACGCGAGGCCTGTAGCAGACGCGCCCAAAGAAGGCGTCAAACAGGGCAGGGCTGTTTAGTAAACGCCAAGTGCCGTTTAGTAAACGCGAGTTGTCCGGTCCGGGTGGTTCTTCCTCCCTGGCCAGCGGCGGCGTGGAACCCGGAACGCCCGCGCTGGGATCACCGGCCTGCGCCGACGCGGCGCGAGCCTGCCGTGGGCGCGGGCGGCGCACCGAGTGCTTTTACGGTGATGTACACTTTTTATAAGGCAGCACGGAGGACCACTTCGCGAAACATTCACCAGCACGTGATAAGTACGTATACTACACTCGAGAGCTGACAGGTCACTAGTACCTCGCTGTCACGCCGCAGAGCGTGATCCCACAATGGGTAGTATGCAGCCCCCCCCCCCCCGATGAAAACTGAGAACGGGGCTCCGAAACTCGAAAGCAAGTCACCGATAAGCAAGTCCGAAACTGAGAACGGGGCTCCGAACTGAAAATGAAAACGGTGATGGCGTTGGATAAGGAAACCTTCGATGAGGAATCCAGGGTCTGGAAGTCATTGGAACTCCAATCGAGGCTTGGCCGTGGATATCACCGCCGCCCTCATTGGATGAGGGATCCTCCAGGGTCTGCAGCCTCCTGGGCGCATTCCTTCACGACTGCCCCCACCGTACTTGCAACACATCGTGTGGACCAGAAAATGGGAAACGCATGCTTGCCTTTGCTTTTCAGTACGACTGCAAGCTGTGAAAACATGGCCGGTCGATCCTTTTAGGTCTGAGACATGTTCGGCTCGAGGTGTCAGGAGAGGCAGAAGTGGCCGCGCCCATCTCCAAGGCGAGGAGAAAGCTAGCCTCAGGTCGGGCATGTCCTCCTACAGGCGGTTTTTTTACGAAAATAGAAAAAACAACAAATGCTCTAACATACTTTTAGTACAAAGTCAGCAAATCGTCCCCAAAACTATTTTTCTACTCCTTTCGAAGATTCCTCCTGTAGAGGGACACGCCCGACTTAGAGCTAGTCCCCCCCCCCGCCCCCAGTCTCAGAGACCCAGATCTTCGACGTCCTGGTTTTCACAACGTGCGCCCACGGTTATGATGTTCCAACCTACTTCAGCCTTCATCACGAGAAAGAAAAAATTTCGAGCCCCAATAAAGTACCGAAACTCAATGGCTTTCACGTGTCGGTCCCTGGGAGACGCTCGTCCGACACTGTCTCGACACTTTTTCGGCACTTTTCCGTGCGCCCGAAATTGTTTCTGGGATGTGGTCCTTAAGTACGACGGGAGCAACATAAGCCCACAGATGTCTCGACCCCCTCCCCGGGGCCAGCTCTGCATCCCGAGTGGTTCTTGTGGACGGCCCCCGGGAAGCCAAAAATGGGGGCACGCCTTATGTCGGGCCTGTCCCCCATACAAGAGGATTTTGGACGAAAATAACAAGTAGTCCGAAAATATTCGAATATACCCAAAAATCATCGAAACGTCGTCCCCAGACTATTGTTTGACTGTTTTTGAAGAATTACTCCTCCTGTAGAGGGACAGGCCCGACGTAAGGCAAGCCTCCCGTCGAGCTTCTTCGCTGCAGGAGGGGGGGC